GGCAACGTCCCATTTTAGCAACGTCCAATTTTAGCAACGTCCCATTTTGGCAACGTCTCATTTTGGCAAAGTCTTATTGTGGTAATGTCTCATTGTGACAAATTCTCATTGTGACCAAGTCTCATTGTGGCAAAGTCTCATTGTGGCAAAGTCTCATTGTGGCAAAGTCTCATTGTGGCAAAGTATCATTGTGGCAACGTCTTATTGAGAAAATAATTTAACACGAAATTTTCGCCAAAATATCTACAAAAGATAATCATAAATATAATTCTGTTAAAATCAGCAAGATAACTTTTTTATTGACTAAGAGCTAATGACGAATCTGCGCAAGTAGAAATTATAAAAAAAAGTACTTACGGATTTTAGTGGATCTGCAATTGAGAGTCTGGAAGAGCACTTGCGGGCGCATCCCAACTCGTGCTCACTAATTCTTAAAAAGGTAAAAGAGTAAATGTGTCTATAATCCGTATACTTAACTCGTGCTCAGTTGAAAAATATACCTGCCCTTATTAACATCCAATCTTATCTAGGAACTGTTAAAAGATTTAATATAAAATTCTAAGGAACAGGCATTATTGAAAAATTCCTTATACTTACTAGAAATGCGGAAAGTTTTTATTTCGAATCTGATATTTATGAATGACCTAGTTTTATTTCGTAATTGTAAGTGGTAAGAGCAGCTCAATAAACATGTCGATTCGTGAAGTAACAAGTCAACGTGGAAAAATATTATTAATTATAGAACAGTACAAATTTAATCAAACAGGCAAAAAGTTAGCTTCTGGAGAAATTAAGTGGGTATGTGTGAATAGAAAGTGTAAAGGCTTTTTTCGAACAGTCGGTGATTCTGGAGGTCGTGTAATAACCAAAAAAGTGTTAACACATAATCATCCAGCAATAGAAAAAAATATTATCCAAAGACATATAGTGAGTGCATCTGCTAAACGAAAGGCCTCTAATGATATTTGTGATAAACCCAGCAAAGTTATTCGAAAATGTTTTGAATCCAATTTAAATGAACTTAAAATAAACGATTTAAATTGTATCAAAAAATCAATTTACTATGAAAAACGCAAAAAGTTTCCAAAACTTCCACCAAGTGCCGAAAAGGTATTTGAAATTTTAAATAATAGCAATGCATACACTTTACAAAATGAGAATTTTGTGCTTATAAATGATTTGGAAATAAATTCAATTGTATTTTATACTGAAACTAATTTAAAGTTTCTCTGTAAGTGCAAAACACTTTACATAGATGGGATGTTTGCGTATTGCACAAAATATTTTCTCCAACTGTTTACTATTCATAGCCTACGTAATGGACATTATATACCACTTGTTTTTTGTTTATTGCGAGATAAAAAAGAAGAAACCTGCATAAAATTATTTCGCAAATTAATTGGTATATGTAAGTATAATAATTTGAACCTAATGCCTGAACAAAATATAGTGATTGATTTTAAAATCAGCATTCATAATGCTACGCGATTAATTTGGAGTAATGCTAGATTAAATAGGCTTCTGATTCCGCTTAAGTCAAGCATGGTGGTGAAAAATTCAATACCGTAAAATGGGGTGAATAGAAACAGGTTTCATGTTGTTGTGTAACGCTACAGCGATGTTTGATGAGATAATGTAGTTTAAATTAGTGTAAAACTTGGGTCTTAGTCTCTTCTAGATGAAGTGTACTATAAATTATTAAAAAAAAAATTAATTTGTATTTCATTTTTTTTTTTTTCGTTGTGTTTCTATTCACCCTACAAATGAGGTCAAAAGAAACACATACTTAAGCTCAATTAATTGAGCGTTTGTATCTATTCATAGCATTGTGGGGTGTCTAGAGACTTCAAAAGAAAAATTCAGTTTGATTAAATCAGTTTTATTTAACACAAAATCCATAAAACGAACTAAAAACAAAAAATTCAGTATATTCATCTACATAGTATATGTAAATATAAACAGATGAAGAAACCAAAAACATAAAAATTAAAAACGTCAGTAAATAAAATTAGTATTTTGTCAAATCACTGAGATTATCCGGAAAAGAAAGCATATCTTTGAATCGACCAGAGGAAAAAACAGTGGGAGAAGACAACCCTCTAACTATATCAGCATGATTTATGAACGACTCTTCAGTTGTTACAGAAAACTTTATTGTCTCGCCGCCCTTTTTATAAAAAAAGTCCCACATACCCATCATCAACGAGATAACAAATTTTGATCACGTACAATCTAACAGACTGTTTGGTCTTACCGTAGACTTTCGCAATTGCAAAATCTCCAGGGTGAAGGGTCTCGGTACTTTTACGTGTAGGACTATTTGTGAAGGAATTTTTATCTTCAGAAAATGATAGGTCCAATTCATCATCACTGTCTTAAAGGGAATATTTAGAGCTCACTGACGATGAATCTTCATCATTCGTTTTTGTATTTTTCTTTGAACGAGTAGGATGTTTGCTTGAAGTAGCTACCGGTGTTACAGCTTGGTTGAAATCTGCAGGGTCGATATCTGCTTGATATTCCTGTATGCCGATGCTTTTACCTGGTTAAACAACACATTTTTTCCTAGTCTTCCGGGATTTTTGGGTGTCTCCACTCCATTTTTTAAAACCGGAAATAACATTATCTTGTTTAAATGTTGAACATAGCTGATTTAGCAAACCAGGAAATTTGTCTTTTGGAACAGTCGACTCATTCCTACCTGGACCTTTTATCCAAGTTTCTAGAATATGACGCCAAGATATCTTTACTGGACGAAAATAAGCCACGTCCAGTGGTTGGGTCAGGTGGGTTGAATTGCTTGGGAGAAAAATGAATTTAATATTGTTCTCCTCACACAATATAATTGCCTCTAATGACAGATGTGATGCTAAATTATCATTAATCAAAAACTTTTGTCCCTCAAGCCTTCGCAAATAGGGGATTGCTACAGTTTCAACCCAATCCTATAAACAGAAGGCATCGAACCAGCCCGACTTTGTTCTATTGTAATGAGAGTTCTTAGGACCATTTTCAGTCCAACTTTGGTAGAGATGTAGGGCTTTATAAGGAGGTAATATATTGCCGTCCCCAGCAGCAGCAAACATCACAGAAACCGAAGATTTGGTAGAGTTCATTACATGTTCCGGATATTTGCATTCTCTTCTGGTAATATTTTTCTTCCTCCCTGGGTCATCAGATAAATTCGTCCCGTCATAATTAACGATGTTACCAGCTGATACGTCTTTCAATTCCACCTTGAGGTTGTCAAAGTATTCGTTTATCACCTCCGGAGAAATAGCAGTCCTGCTTCTTTTTATATTTTGGGACATCCTTTAAGATAAGGCTTGATTATGTCTTTCGATAAAAGAATATACGAAGTCCCTACCAGGTAAATTGTCTTTGAACACTTTTATGCTTTTTCCCTGACGACCTAAAAACTCTTTCACTGAGAGTCTTAATGTCAGGGAATCAATGGGATAACCCCAGTATCCACATAAATGTAGTCTGTTTACAAGAATGAATTCCTCCATATTAGATAAAGCCGTCTGTCCACATTGTTTTTTCATTTGTTTTCCCCGTTTGAAATGTCTGTAAAGCACGCTGAAATGAATGCCATGCTTTTTTGACGATTTTCTTAAACTTAATCCTGACCGTATATCTAGAATTGCACTTTTGATTTTTTCCTCAGAGTGCTTTTTATACTGTTTAGTAGTTTCACTACTTTGTTTGTATTTTCGGGGCATGTTTCTGGTACAATCTGAAAAAACAACAAATTATTTAATAGTTATCTATAATATAAGGATACAACAAACTATAAATGACTGCACAAACGTCGTTTCTGACAGATCATCTAGTTACAAACCTACTAATATAAGTTTATTATTTGTGGGGTCAATAGAAACACTGTTTCTATTCACCCCACAGATTCTAAATAAAAAGTCACAAAAAACAAAAAATCATTGCTGACAAACTAATGTGAAATATCAAAAATTAAACATAAACCTATTGCTAAAACACTGTGTTTAACGTTTAAAACGTACCAGTGGTATATTACATTCAGTAGTTTGGTACTTACATAAAAAGTTCTAGGAGCTCCAAAAAATCATAAATCTTAACCTCAAAGTCAACTGTCAACAGAAGGAATTTACAGGTGTGCCAACATAACAAATTACAATTTTTCTATTAGTTTTAGGTATAGCCAACTTCACGATGACCATACACTTCTTCTTTTTTTATTGTTTATTTATTATTTCCCGCCAAAAATTTAGCACTGTTTTGTTTCTAATTACACCACTGTTTCTATTCACCCCATTTTACGGTATTCGGGACTATCATCGGAGTATAAAAACAAACAAAGCGATATTGGAAAATGACTACGTTACTGCTTTGGAATTATGTTTATAGACGCTGAATTAGTTAGCGACTTATTTGCTTTTGAACTCCTAGAAGAAAAGTCAAACAACGAAAGATTAGCTGCATTTGGTGATTATTAAGTGGACAATTATATTTTAAAAGAGGCTGGTTTTCCTCCTAATATATGAACAGAAGCATCAGCTACTATATACAGAACCACTAATACATGTGAATCATTTCATAGCCATTTAAATAGTTTATTTTATAATTCACACCCCTCATTATTTGTTTTTGTTGAGGTATTATTAAAAATTCAAGAAGAGACGTACATAAAATGTCGCACCGTAGATTTATTAAAATTTAAAGAAATTCATCAATAAGAAAGCGTAAGTTAGTAGCTAAAAACTGAAATCTTTGCTGGGACATGGTTGCCCGGAAAATTCCAATCCCAAAAGTAAGGAACCACAATTCTTCTGTGCTGCAATTTGAGACACGCAAAACTCTTGCTATATAGAGAAGACCAATATAAGCTCTTACCTCAATAAAAGTTGTGGTTTAGGTGTAGCTGAGTTTATTAGTCTCATCGTGGTTTCTCTCAATTTGTTAATTGGTGCATATGGTAATTGTTTCAATTATATCTTCACTGATAATCAAATTCCAAACTTCTAAAGGGTTTCTACTTTTCTAGCTTTGCCTTTAGGACCAAGCAAATGTAAAACAATGTTGTCAGCTCTCAAACGACCTCTCCTCTGAGGAACTACAGATGAGAGTAGGTGGTTATTTTTACCTCTTAGAACGCTTTTATTTCTCGTCGCTGTTGGAGGCCTCTCTTCATTGCTTTGTTTATTCTCATGAGCATTGTTTTGTTTACTGTTATTTCCACTAGCTTGTTCACTGTTATTCTCACCAGTTTGTTCACTTTCCTTTTCACTGTGTTCTTCATTTTCATTGTCACTGTTCTGTTTATTTTCATCATCCTGTTCACTTTCACAAGCACTTTGTTTATCGTCTTCCTCATCCTCCTCCGTCTCATAATCGTTTTCGCTATCCAAAAATTCTCCATATTCATATCCATTTTCATGATCTGGACTTTTTCCAAGATTATCTACAATCTCCTGCAGTTCCTTATCTGTTACCGGACGATTATCGTTCCTTTAGCCCTCGACATCTTCCTACAAAATATTAGAAAATAAAATTTCTAATAGAAAATATGTAACTGGGGTTTCAGTAACCCAGAAGCAGCTAAAATCAAATTTTACTACTTACCTATAAGCGATAAAATGTTTTGCGTCCTACCTCACTTGTATATGTTACGGTTAAAGTGTTTACTTGGCTAGTTTATAGACTAGCTGGATAGAATACAAACTATCCAAGTGTCCTGCTATTTTGATGGAAAATCTTATTTCTACTAAAATAGCTATGCATATTGGTTCGTTTGTATACTAACCAGCTAGTTTACAAACTATACAATATTTATCGTCAAAGTACAAACTACAAGAAAAGTACACAAATTAACCGGTATTTTTGGCTAGTTTATAAACTATCCACAGTATTTGGATAAAGTGTGAATTTAATGTTCGTAGTAATACATAATAACCAGCTCATTGGTTAGTATGTAAACTAACCAATCCTCTTTGGTTAATTTAGTTTAGGATAGTAAAATAATTCTTGATAAAAAATAAAGTTTATTTATAGGTATAACATTGCTATTACTACTTAAAAATAAGTAAAGAAACAAAAATTACGTAAAAAAACTTATTTTTGGTTTGTTCTGACAAAATATTAATAAAAAACTTTAAAATATTGCCATCACAAAACAAAGAAAATTATTATTTATTGGAGCAAGGTACACTGTTGTGGCACTTGCTGTTACACGTGTATCCAGACGCAAGACATTTACACTTTTTCTTTTTCTTTTTATACATTGCAAAAGTTCACTGTAATCACTGTCATTCATTAATTTTGAATTTTGCGACTTGCTGTTTATTCATTTTTATTACCTTCTTCTTAAACAAAACACCACAGTAGTAAACAATAATAACAACACACACTTACCATAACTATAACCTCACTTTTCTAATAAATTAACCAAAGAGGATTGGTTAGTTTACATACTAACCGACGAGCTGGTTATTATGTATTACTACGAATATTAAGTTCACACTTTAACCAAATACTGTGGATAGTTTGTAAACTAGCCAAAAATACCGGTTAAATTGTGTACTTTTCTTGTGGTTTGAACTTTGGCGATAAATATTGTATAGTTTGTAAACTAGCTGGTTAGTATACAAACCAACCAATATTCATAGCTATTTTAGTAGAAATATGATTTTCCATCAAAATAGCAGGACATTTGGATAGTTTGTATACTATCCAGCTAGTCTATAAACTAGCCAAGTAAACACTTTAACCGTAACATATACAACTGTTAACTCAATTTACATGGCACTGGCCCAAGGTCACAATCGAAACACTGCGCACAAGATAGAATATAAAGTGCACGTGGGTTTTCTAGACCCCAGTGTGCAGTAGCAGGATTAAGTATACAAAAAAGGTTATTTTTTTTTTAAATCTTTTTTGTCAAAAAAATTAATAGTACGGTACCATTTCCCTAATTATATAAAAGGTGTATCAAAAACATAAATTTTATTAAGAATACGTAAACCTTAATCGAAAACTAATAATAATAAAAGTTTTTCATTACTGGCCAACTAGGTCTTGAATATTTTAATTATTAATAGGAACTAAAAACCATGGGCACGAGTTGGTGTATTAATTTTCTATCTGGTTTTTGAACGAGCACGAGTTGGTCAGTGATTCCCGGGGCCAGGTGATAACAGGCACGAGTTGGGAAATGCCGGCACTTGCAGTTATTTTTCTACTGCTCAATATATGACCTTCAAAAAATTATTACAAAAAAATATCCCTTAGACATCCTGGAATTATTTTTTTTTATTTTAGCATTTAAAAAATCTAACCTATTCCAAAAATCTCGTCGACGAGACTGTCTCGAATTTGTTTTATTAATATACTGCAAAAATATTAAATTAAATATAATTAAAAATAAGTGATTCATGTGAAGAATCGAAAAATACTAGTATTTCACAAGATACCGTCTATATTCACAAATAAATCGTAAATTTTAATGAAACTCTCTAAATCCGATTTAGAAACAATTCAGTTTCAGATAACAAAATAGAGGGTACTGCAATTTTAATACACAATAATAATATTCCTGGTAAAGATACTTTATATAGTTGGATATCCATTTATTAATGTACATCTGAGTATAAATAATAACACTAATAAACATATTATTGTGAAAGAGTGTAGAAAAACCTATTTTTATTTTTGTTTTTAGGCCAAATTTACCAGCATATTTACATCTGCCAAAATGAAGTACTACTTTAACACCGTTAAAAAATGCAGTGATGAATTAAAAACCCATTTGGAACTCATAACTAAAGTTGATAATGTAGAAGTTGATATTTACGAAGTTATGGCTTGTTACCTTACCGATGTGTTAGGTATATACTTAGAAACAAGGCGTGTGATAACAAAAATCTGATATGAGTAAAATAAGCTCCTGGTACTCGTATTTAGGATTTCTCAATTTTTTCAAATCTTTTTAAATATATGTTTTAATTATATATTTATTACTATTCACTTTTAGGATCGATAACTTTTGGAGTCGACGCTAACAGTTTCAAATCTCCAGATGCCATTTTCAGGAAATTAGGACGGCATATGTTTGAGACCTTTCCTCTACCATTCCAAATTGAATTATTCTTAACAATTTGTTACCCAAAATTAGCCAAACTTATGAACTTAAGTATCTTTCAACCGGAGCTTGCAAAATTCTATGGTGAGTTTGTGCCGGAAACTATGGAGCACAGAATCAAGAACAATATACACAGAGCGGATTTTCTGGAGTTATTGATCGAAATGAAAAATTCAGGAATTGATTTATCGCAGAATGAGATAGTTGCGCAGGTAATTTAATAAATTTTATAATTATTATAATTTAATTTAATAAATACGAAGGTGTAAATGAAAGGTCCCTTATTTCTCACGAAACGGAGAAATAAAGAACCTTTTCCATGAACTTTTATATTCAATTCCAACCACTCATATATGGCTACCCTCATCCCTAATTTAATTTATTTTTCCATGTTATCACTACTATTTTAGTTCGTCACTGCTTGTAGAGCGTCGGGATAAACTAATCTCAGGTTAGTAAAAAAAGTTACTCAATCGAGCAATTATTAACACAGAACCCAGAAGAAATAGGACAAATAGGTCATCGACCTAAAATACGTGAAAGACAATTAAAAATTGGTACAATATCAATAATATTAATATTTAGATTAAATAAAAGTACACATCCGTGATTCATGAGTTTAGGCACAGTTTCTCATAGCACACTTACTCCTTCAACGGTTACCCCCATGTTAGATAACGGTATAGAATTACAGTGCCTCCTGGCTGGCGTGGTTGATTGTGCTCGGGCACTATCAAAATTCGCTATTATTATAAAGCAAAAACCAGTTGCACAAACCAAGTTTAACTTGACTAATAGTTTTAATGTTTAATTGAGTAACTCAGTTACATCATTGCCTAACCCATACATTTGGTATTGTGCATAACTTCGTCAAAATACCTAAATCTTTTAGTGTCAACGTTGTTAACCTTTGTCTTCCTGGGTGGGGTACAAATGTACCCCATAAATTGTTTTTCCTGCATATTTTCTCAGACAGTCCATATTTTTGGTTACCAATTTTATTTTGTGTCAATAAGAGCTTTGCAAATAATTAATGCTTGTCAAAAAAGATTCTTCTTTCTTTGTTTTTGGAATAAAAATATTTCAATAGCGTGGGGTATATTTGTACCTTACGTGGGAATCCGCGTACACTATTGAGGAGTGGCCTAGGCAATCATTTATACGTAAAGGAATTCTAAAACGGCGCGCGCCGCTTCTAAAAATAGACTCGATAGTGTACTTGTTATACGCACATCAGTTTGACCATCGCCAACGGTCGCATGTGTTACTTTTACTTATCAAAAATGCCGAAAGGTATCAATGACGTGGAGTTAGAACGACTCTTATATGCAAAGTCCGAAGATGAAATGAAAGAATTTGACTTGATATTATCTGAAGATGAGGAGAGTGAAATAAATGAGGAAGTTTCTGATCTTATTCAATGCGAAAGTGAAGTTCGTCAAGAAACATCTGTGGGGCAGGACAGGACCGAAAGTGTACCGAAAGAAGGTGTCGGAAATCCATTTTATAAATTTCAAGATGGCACACAATGGTCGAGAATACCATATCCTCAGACACGCAGAGGTACTAAAAATATAATCAAAAATAAGCAAGGTCTAACCCCGTATAGTTCAAGTTTTACCACTGAAATTGAATCATTTTTGCTGTTTTTGTCAAACGATATGATGGAAATTATAGTAGTTCAAACGAATAGAAAAGCTGAAGAGGTAAGTTCATTATTTCATTTGTTTATAATGTTTAGGTAGTTTGCTGTATTCCACCGTTACAAAAGCAAGAGTTCTTCTATTGTAGGTGATAAAACAATGGAATGAAAAATATCCACATAAACCACAACGAACTTGGCAGCCAACCTATTCTACGGAGATCCATGCGTACATAGGACTCCTGCTCATCCAAGGAGCAAGCACTTCAAGCAACCAAGGAGACCCAAAAAATGTTATGGTGTACCGAAAAAAAATATGCTAGGCCTATTATTCCTGCAAGTATGTCACGTAATCGATTCCAGTTGCTGACAGCATTTATTCGTTTTGACGACTATTCTACTAGAGCTCGGCGAAGAATGAGCGATAAACTGGCACCAATTGGAGAGATATTTGATATTTTTGTTCAGAATTGTAGTAAGGCGTATTCACCTGGATCGCATAGCACTATAGACAAGCAACTTGTTTTATTCAGGGGGAGATGCCCTTTTCGTGTTCACATGAAAAGTAAGCCCGATAAATATGGCCTAAAATTTTTGGCAATGGCTGATAGTGAAACTGCGTACAGTATAAATTTACAGGTTTATCTTGGAAAAATAAATAACCAACCAGAGAAAAATCAGGGTAAAAGAGTGGTCTTGGATCTTATAAAACCCCTTGGCACTGGATATGGAGTAACCAGAGATAATTTTTTCACAAGTTTATCACTGGCAAACAAACTTGCTGACAAAGGACTAACCTTGTGTGAGACACTCTGAAAAAATAAGCCATACATCCCAAATGAGTTGTTACCCAAATTATTTAGGACCATACATTCTAGTATATTTGCTTTAACGAAAGACCATACTATGGTCTCTTATACCCCTAAAAAAGGCAAAGCAGTTATTTTGCTATCTACGGAACATCATAATGATCTTGTTGCAGATAAATCATATGATAATAAACCGCACATTATACTTCATTATAACCATACAAAGGGTGCTGTAGATACTACAGATAAAATGGTGAAGCAATACTCTGCTCGTAGAATTTGCAATCGTTGGCCAATGGCAATTTTTGGTCAATTATTAGATATTGCATGCCTAAACGCATATATTCTATGGAACATCAAATATCCGAAAAATTCCAAAACTAAGGACGACCGACGGTATTTCTTACTTCAGTTAGGAGAAGCTCTGGTAAAAGACAATATTATAAGGAGATATAATCACCCAGGACGCTTGAGCAAGACGCTGAAGCAGTATATGCGAGATGGTATTCCAGAATTGGCATCGGCTGCAGTTGAAGCACCAATTGAAGCACCAAGAGAGAGACACGTAAGTGGACGTTGTTATCTGTGTTTACGAAATAAAGATCGCAAATCTAGACAGTTTTGCAACAAATGTCAAAACTTTGTATGTGCAGAACACCTTGTAAAAGAAGTGAAGTGTATTAAATGCAAAGACGGTTAGGAAAATATTATATCTGATTTTGTGTAATTGAATTTTTCACTAATTTTACTCTGTTCTAAGTTCATTCTATGTATTATTACTCTTTACTATAATAAAAAACACGTTTATGTATAAGAAGTGTCATTTTTGTCATGGGGTGCAAATGTATCCCACGTGGGACCCTACGTAATTATGCTGACGTGGGAATACGAAGGTTAATTTCTATTTTGTTTGCCTGGTATAGTATAAAATACAGATTTGCAACTTTGGCAATGAAAGATTTAGTTAATCCTATGCACTATACCGCCACATTATAAAATTTGTGAGTTAGGCAAGGATGGCACAAAACTTCTCAACTAATATTTAAAAGTGAACAAGCATAATCAAGATGAATAAATTTATCAAAACAAGAAACATACAAATCCAATATTTGCAAAATGTATTATGTGGCTATCAGGCTGCAACATATTTCAGGATACAGCATTGCGCATGTCATGGCCTTATCTAAACCTTCGCTAGTTAATTCATTGCCATGATATCCCTTGTGGCCTGTCACTCAGGCTAGAGTAATCTTGTTTTGGCTACTTAGCTCTGCCAGGTCTTCTAGGCAGTTTTTCACCAGTCGTGATATGATTTCTGACGAAATAATTGACTTTAGAGCTGCTTCCATATCACCGTAGGTAGCAATAGTTTTATGTATTACTCGCTGATTTAATATTTCCCTTACACAGTGTTTTATGGCTATTAGTTCTGCCTAAAACACATATTCTCCTTAACTCAGCGAAATCGTGGTTTTTGACTTGGGGCATATATTTTAGCACCAGCCTTTTCCCTGTCTTTTGCAATATTTGTAAACCAGACGAGTTCAGCCTGTTTCCAGGATTCTCAGGCTAGTATTTAAATTTGAAAGTTCCTTTTAAAGTTGCATGGGGTTATGGATATATTAGTAGGCATTCCTAGGATCTTATCCCTTTTTAGTTTCTTCTACAGCTTACGACAGCTATTAAACCTTCATATGCGAGATGTTGAGATGTGATTCCACGTCAGCCTTTGGTCAAATATGACGAAGGTATTTGACTCCTGTGACGAATGGAATAAACATGATATTTACTAGTGGTCTTAATCTAAAAACCCATTTTTTTGAGAATGGAACATCTGTTGTTTTTGTACGTTAGTGGAAAATTGGTCCATTTTGTACCAGTTGTTCACTATGTGTAGAGCTGTTTGAGATCACTCTGAGACGGTGCCTGCAAATTGCCACACGACGATAGGCTAGATTTAGAGCCTTCGTTATTGACCTGGTTCAGGCATTATTGAAAGCTCTTTTAATATCCAAGAAAGTGACTATTGAAATTTCTTTGTCATCTATTGACTTTGAAAGCAGCCTGTTTAGTTTGTTCAGCGCTAGGTCAGCGGTTTATTTGTTTTTAACATCTATTGTAACATTAACTAATTATGTTTTTTCATATATTTTGTATACCTTTTATACTATTAATTAATTATACATATTTTTATATTGTAATTATTAGTCTGAAATGGGGTTTACCCATTTGTAAATAAATAAACAAATAAATGAAGTCATGCATAAATATTTCTTGAATTAAAACAATGTAATTTTTTCTACAACTTTACATATTGGGTATTATTTTACTATAATTTTACTTATATTTAAAATAAATCAGTTACTTGACAAACTCCGTAAGTTCAAAAAAATTGTATACTAGAAATAAATAAGTTGCGTATTTGAAATTCATTGAAACAAATTATTACAAACTAAATAATAATAAAAAAATAAAAAAAAAATTAAGATTGGAAACAAGGGGTTTTTCAAATGAATGGCAATTTTCAAGTAATAAGAAACTTAAAAGGAATCTAACAATGTTTTATTAAAATACTTTATTTGCCTCTTATCTACAGAGTAGGCCAGCGTGCCAGTTCTGCATAAAATATTTGTGTATCTTTTTCTGGAAGCACTGCATTAATATTTTAACATCAATGAGCTTGTGTACATTGATAGGAACAATGCGATCATAAAATAGTCTTTTGAGGCAAAACAACAGTGTATTCTTCTAAAAAACAAGCAATTTATTACTTCATTTTGAAAATTAGATCTGTTCGCTTCATTTTTATCTTAGCGACACCTGAAGTCCTTGTCTCAAGGCTAAATGATTTTTTTTATTATATATGTAATTGCAAATTTACAATTAACTCAAGAATATACAAAGTAATAAGTAAATGAATTGGTTTCCATGGGACAGGCATGAGACAGGCACCATCCATCGATGGGCCTCCGGGGTTTACCTATTCTAAGAGATCTTCTGGCCAGTGACGTTTTAGTTTTCTGCGTTCCATTGAATCATTGTATAGGTTATCAATAAATGGATTTCTATAATTTTCATCCCTAGTTTTGTTTTTATTAGCTATGGATTACTTCATTGACTGTTGGAATTCCAAGATCGTTATACAGGGTGTCTGTAAAAGGTCTTTACAAAAACATACCACATATTCCTTAGACCAAAATAAGTCGATTTAAGTAAAATTACCTTTGTACAAAGTTGCTTTGTTTGGGCTCCAGAGGGCCTTGAAGTTGCAATTTTTAAATCGTTTTTCCCATATAAATTTAAAACGGCATATGCGATTTTGCTGAAATTTGGAGTTTTATGTGGCAAAAATAATGGTATTAAGATTTTGTCCGATAATAATGCATAGGCGTAGAACTTGATTTTTTAAATAATTACACCTTTAAAAATTCTACGCCAATGGAAGTAAAGAAGTTTGAGTATGAAATTTAGATTGCGCAACTCATTTACTTTAAAAAAGGTACTCTTGATAAGATTCGATTACTCGCATGGTTTTGACGAAATTTGCGTTTCAGTAATTTTAGAACATAAACAATAATTATTAAAATACAAACTTTGTCAAAACCATGAGAGTAAATCGAGTGTTATCAAGGGTACTTTTTTGTAGTAAATGAGTACCTAATCCAAATTTCATACTCAAACCCTTTTTCTGCCATTGGCGTAGAATTTTTAAAGGTGCAATTATATAAAAAATCTAGTTCTACGCCTGTGTATTATTATCGGACAAAATTTTATACGATGATAAACATAAAAATGTACTTTTTTCATATCTTCTTCAACACCTCTAATCGATACTTTTAACAAAAATACTCGATTCTTGTCATGTACGATTTTTTGAGGAATATTAATTATTTGCCTGCAATAGGTATACAAAAACATTTATTGTTGGTTTCCATAGTTTCATCTAAATAAAAATATTGTCAAGTTTTAACACCTGATCTCTTGTTAACGATTGAAAGTGTTCTATCTGAATCAATAATTAAAAAACAAATTCGTGGTTTATTAATTTGGCTGTATAATATACCAATGTAGAATATACCGATATGTTACTGACATTAGGATTTTGTGAAGGAAATGCTCGAGAGAGTGTAAGGGTTTACTCTGAAAGGTTTCCAAATCATCGTGTACCTAGCCACCCAACTTTTGCTGCTGTTGAGAGACTCTTCGGGAGACCGGTTCCTTTGCTTCCAACACTGTTAATAATGGAAGAGAACGTTTTCTAAGGATTCCTGAAGTTGAAGAAGACATTTTAGAACGTGTTAAAGAAGATCCAGAATAAGGCACCAGACGAATTGGAAGGGACCTAGGAGTAAGTAAAGATGTCGTTCATAAAGTGCTTAGAGAACAATTGCTATATCCATACCATAAGAAGCCAGTACAAGAATTATTAGTCCTCAAAAACACAAATTTGTTTGAGTTTTTGTCGATTTGTTAATATGCAAAGAGAAAGAGATCCAAACTTTGTCAAGAAGGTTCTCTTTACCGATGAAGCAGGTTTTACAAGAAGAGGTATAACTAATACCCATAACGAACATGTTTATGCCGTTGAAAATCCGCATGCAATAAAGGTAAACCATTTTTAGCACGAATTCAAAATTAATTTGTGAGCTGGAATAATTGGTAATTTCATTGTTGATCCTGTCATACTTCCACGAAGATTAACTGGAGAGAATTATTTGGATTTTCTACAAAATACGTTGCCAGAATTGTTAGAAAATTTACCTCTCCAACTTCGGAGAGATATGTGGTTTATGCAAGATGGAGCTCCATCACATTTTTCTTTAAACGTTAGAAACCACTTGAATGAACAATATCCACACAAATGGATAGGCAGAGATAATGACGCGCCTGTAAACTGGCCACCACGTTCCCCAGACCTAACACCGATGGATTACTTTTTATGGGGGACATCTGAAATCCACAGTTTACAGGGAACCTGTAAAAAATGAGGAACAACTCTGGCAACGTATTCAAGATGCAATAAACAATCTTAGAGGTGATGAAGAAGTTATGGAAAGGATACATTTTAATTTCCTTTGACGTATAAATCTTTGTATGCGTGAAAATGGTGAACATTTTGAACAATTTTTGTAAAATCTCTATTTTGATTATGTTGTAAATAAATATTTTTGTGAAACCTATACACTCTAAATTATTAAAACAGAAATTTAGCGAAAACCATAAGAGTAATCGAGTCTTATCAAGAGTACCTTTTTTAAAGTAAATAAGTTGCGCAATCTAAATTTCATACTCAAACTCCTTTACTTCCATTGGCGTAGAATTTTTAAAGGTTTAATTATTTAAAAAATCAAGTTCTACGCCTATGCATTATTATCGGACAAAATTTTAATACCATTTTTTTTGCCACATAAAACTCTACCAATTTACCAAATTTCAGCAAAATCGCATATGCCGTTTTAAATTTATATGGGAAAAACGATTTAAAAACTGTAACTGCAAGGCCCTCTGAAGCCCAAACGAAGCAACTTTGTACTAAGGTAATTTTACTTAAATCGACTTATTTTGGTCTAAGGAATATGTGGTATGTTTTTGTAAAGACCTTTTAGTATATTGTGTGGTTGCTTACGAACCATGGGGCATTAGCTATCATTCGAAGTGTCTTGGATTAGAATGTTTGTGATATTTTGGTGTTCGATGGTTTGCCAAAACCCTATAACTCTATACCATATGACCAAATTGGGTTCAGTATGACTTTATATAGAAGTATTTTGTTTTTAAGTGATAACTGTAAGCGACAATCAATTAAGCAGTTAATTTTTTGGGTTTTTAGCTTCATGTGTTCTTTTTTAGCTTTGATATAAGTTTTTCAGGTTAACTTTTGATTTAAGTGTAATCCATGATATTTGACTTCAGTTTTTACTAGTATTGCATGGTCATGATGGAAACTTGTGGACAAACACTGCGTTTTTTTGTGAACGTGATTTGTATGGATTTGTCAATGTAAAATTTATCCTCCACTGTTGCAGCCAATCTTTTAGTAGATTTAAATAAAACTGTGGTCTTTATGATGCTCTTATAGGATCTCGATCTGATGACATAATTGCCGTATCATTTGCAAAGGTGAGGATTAGTAAAAATATAGGGACATACTAAATTCTCTGTTTAAACTGACCAGTTGATTGTAAAGCATACTTTATCTGAAAATACATGAAATTCTTTAACAGATGGGTCAATTTTTGTATTATTATAATTAAACATCACAAAAAGTATTATAAGTATTCTTTTGCAGATCTTAAATGTTAAAACTTCCACTGTGACCCGATTCCTATACGGGAGGACAGGAAGTTGCCGGTTTTGCCTAATTTTATTAAGTTAATGCACATTCAAAGAACTGTTTTATCTTTAAAACAATTTTGCTGAATAGCTTCAATTTTTTAATAAAATACTTCTGACTAAAGCGACCACCTGGTGGGACGTTGATTTTAGAAATATCGTCTTGGTTTCTCAAATAAATACAAATACCCCCACTTATATTAACCATTAACTGCATGAAAACAAACAGTGTTTTTTGTTGAATCGAATCGTATACATTCAAAAAACCAGAAAATGGTGTAATATATATCCCTTTCTCAATAGTGTGGAGTTCCTCAAAGAATCAATTCAAATTTATTTTATGATTTTAGTCGTTTGGGTTCTTTACGGCTGGCTTTGAAACATCAGCAACAGCTGCTATGCTACTGCTTTACGAACTGAGTAAAAATCGAGATATTCAAAAGAGGGTCAGAACCGAAATCAATGAGGTTTTGAAAAAACATGGTGATTTCACATATGATGCCATAAATGAAATGACATATCTCTCTCAAGTATTAAATGGTAAAAACAGTTTATCAACAAATAAAGTTTGATAATATTAATAAAAAATCAAACTTACTGTATTTTCTGTGTATTATAGAAACCATGAGAAAATATCCTTTACTGGCGACACTTAATAGGGTCTGTGAGGATGACTACAAATTCCCGGATACTGACGTGATCATTGAAAAAGGGACTCCGATCATTATACCAGTTCTAGGATTTCATCGTGATCCAAGCCTATTTCCCGATCCTGAGAAATTTGATCCTGATAGATTTAAAGACAAAAATGTTAAACATGATGGATATTTTCCATTTGGAGATGGACCTAGGAACTGTATAGGTTAGTAAAAATAATAACGACAATAATTATGGTATACTATCTTATATAGGGCTTTGGGCAGAATGGGACATTTCGACGCAAGCCGTTTTAACGCGAACGTTTAGACGCGGCCGTTTCCACGCGAACACATTTCGACGCCGGCTGATTCGACGTCGGATTGTTTCGACACCAAATGGTTTTTTTTTTAAGTAGGTAAAATAAGTTATTAAAAAAAATATTTGAAATGTCTCTTTTTTGCAGATCTATTCTTTGTATAAAATTTGGGTAAATTATCTTGTTCCTTAAATATTCGCCATAAGCATTGATAGCTGTAGTAAATATCTAACCATTATTTTAAATACCCTTAACAAACATGCACCTACAAAAAGAACTACCATCAATACAGCAAAAAACAAAAACCCTCCATGGATCACTTATAATATTAAAATAATGCAAAAGTTAAGGGATAAGGCATTACAAAAATATAGAAAAACAAAAGTAAAAGCACATTGGAATTATTATAAAGAACTGCTGCAATAAAAAGAGAAAAAAGGCTTTTCTACATTTTAAATTAAACATTTCTAAAACTAAACAAAAATGGTTAGTTTTAAAAAATATTGACATTGGAAGCAAATGTAATAAAGAAAGTAGTATTAAGAACAGTAAATTAAATTAACTCTTTTTTAGTCGGTCCATCGAGTAATCTAAATCCAGATCAAAAAGTTATTGAGTTTTATAACAACAAAGTAAAAAGCACCGTGAATTCCTCACTTACTTTTAATACCATATCTGAATCAGACATATTTAAGATTCTAAAAAATATTGAATCTAAGGCATTTAGATCTGATGGTTTAAACATTCATATCATTCTTCTGTGTTATCCATTCATAATACCTTATATTAGGCATATAATTAATGAATGCATAAATAAAAGGTGTTTTCCGGTAAGCTGGAAAAAAGCCTTTGTGTTGCCCATAACAAAAATATCACGTCCTACGGAATTAAGTCATTTAAAAGGTATAAATGTTCTACCAGTATTATCCAAATTATTTGAAAAGACTATGGAACTACAAATTAGATATCATGTGTCTAGGAACAATTTGTAACCCAAATGCCAGTCTGGCTTTCGTCAAGGCTATAGCTGTGCGACTGCACTGGCGTCAATATCAGTTGACATACTATCAGATCATGACAAAAATTAAATGACTGTTTTGGTTCTAATAGATTATTCCAGGGCGTTTGACATGCTAAACCATCAAATTTTGATGTCAGTTATGCATTAACTTGGTTTTAGTGAATCAGCACGTTCTCTTCTTTGTTCTTATTTAACTAACCATAGTCAGTGTTTTAAGTTAAATAACGATATTTTTATTTCTATAAATATTATGCAAGGGGTACCACAAGGAAGAATTTAAGGACCTGTTTTATTTTCTTTTTACACGTCAAATTTTCCTTCAGCATTAAAATTTTGTAAATATCACATATGCTGACGACACGCAAATATATCATCATTTTAAAATAGAAAATATGTTAGAAGCGCAAAATCAAATTATTGAAGACTTAAAATCAGTTGTTACATATTCTAATGATCATCTCCTTACTATCAATGGAAAAAAATCATGCGCAATAGTCTTTGGCAATGAGCAACAGAAAACGAAAGCTATAATTCATTTTAAAATTAAATTAGATGAAAATACTTTACAATTTAGTGACCACTGCAAAAATTTAGGTGTAGTTTTCGATTCCAAATCGAGGTTTAAAAAACATGTAAGTGAGAAAATAAAAAGAGCATACTCTTCCTTAAAAATGATATATCAACATAGACATGGTTTACCTTATTCTATTAAAATATCACTATGTGACTCTCTAGTTCTTTCACACTTTAACACTGTGCGGACGGTCGGGTCGATTGAGCCCGATTTAGAAATTAAAACTGTTGTAATTTTTTTCCAGTTAAATCTAATGTTTTAATGTTGTAGGACATTTCCTAAAAAGACAAATACTTTTAAATAGATTAAGTTTAAAAGCAATAAATTATTTAGCTTAAACACAATGAAGAGCACTACCGTTAACGACGGCCGGGCCTATTCGACCCTTTTAAGTAATTTCAATTTGTATATAAATCTGAGAGTGTGGTCTGCATGTTCTATTGTGGTCCCCACTCCAAAAAGGTCTTGTCAGGAAACTAAACCTTTATCAGAGCCGCGCAGTCGCGTCGCTGCTGCACATAATAGAGAGTTATTGCAAGTTCACTTAAGGTCAGTCACTATTAGTGCCGCTCTTATTTTGACATCTGAGCATGCGCAGATCACTAACTTTAATAAAGATTGTGCCTGTCCTTAATAGAGAGATATTGCAAATTTCTATAAAGCCAGCTACTAATAGTGACATCGTAATTAGAGTTAAATAAATTCCATGCTAAAATCAGACTTATTGCAAACCTGAAATGATGACATTAGAATCCTCGTCCTTATACTTATTTCTAACCTTATAAAGTTTAAATGACGATTAAATCAAATATTTAATATTAAAAAACTTCTAACGGATACGAATGTCGCCGAGCGCATCCGAAAGCTATAAAGTCGCCACTACCTGCCCTTAAACATCCACAATTAAGGACAGGCACAATCCTTAATAAAGTCAGTTTCAGAACATAAACATCTGCGCATGCTTAGGTGTCAAAATAAGAGCAGCACTAATAGTGACTGACCTTAAGTGAACTTGCAATAACTCTCTTATTAAGGACAGGCACAATCTTTATTGTGTAGTATTGGTCCACTATTGTTTTGTTTATCAGTTTAGTTACAGAGAGTTTGGGAGTTGTTGAATGTGTATTTATGCTGTCGCGGTATACAAATCTCAGTATTGCTAAACTTGATCGTATCCTGAATAAGGATTCTGATTCTGATGATTCTGACCTGTTTGATGATGAAAGTGATGATGGAAGTGAAATTGACGGCGATGATGTTGTCGAACCAAAGTCTGTTTCGGCGGTTTCTGAGGATGAGGAGATGGAAGTTGATATCGATCTGGACTTGCCTCCACCAATATACCCTACGGACGGTGAAGCTCGGTGGTTTGTTGCAAAGAACTATGAGGATGTCTGGTGTTCAATGCCAATAGCGGATGCAAGAGGGCGGCAGAAAGCACAAAATATTCTAAAAAAACACCGAGGGACCAACAACGTGGGCTGAGCGGCAATGCAGAACAGTGGAGGATGCATGTTTACTATCTTTTAGGCAACCACTTTAAGAAAAATTGTGCCGGTGGAGTAATAAACAAGGGCATTCGGTGTTCAAAAATAAGTGGAAGGAGTTAACCACTGACGAGCTAAAGAAGTATTTGGGATTAGTTATTCTCATGGGCGTTTACAAGTCTAAAAATGAGGACGTCAGTACCATGTTCAATACTCAGCATGGACGGCCTATTTTCAGTCGATTAATGAGCCGAGATCGATTCAAGACAATAACCAAGGTAATAAGATTTGATGACGCAGAGGAGAGGGGAAAGCATCGTTCCCCTGACAAACTTTAGCCTGTTAGAGATTTTTTCGAAAGTTGGAACACCTACCTAAGAGATGCTTATGTTCCTGATTGGTGAATGACTGTAGATGAACAACTTGTAACATTTCGGGGCCGCTGCAATTTTCGGCAATACATTCCGTCTAAACCTGGAAAATACGGCATCAAATTTTGGATGATATGTGATGCTCAGACTGGCTACGTATGGGAAACTGAAATTTATAAAGGCAAAGAAGGAGGAGAATCCCGTGAAGTAAAGCAGGGAGAACGTGTCGTGAAAGGGTTGGTTTCTGAATTAAGGAACAACGGTAGGAACAATTTTTTTACAAGTATGCCTCTAGCTCAGGATCTTCTACAGATGAACTTGACAATGGTAGGTACTATCAGAAAGAATAAAGCTGAACTACCTGTGGAATTTGTAGTTGCCAAAGGGCGTGAAGTGGATTCAACACTGTTCGGGTTCCAGGAGAACGCTATCCTTGTTTCTTATTGCTCTAAGAAAAACAAGGTTATGACACTTCTCAGCACTTTACATGACCAAAACGTAATTGATGAAATGAATAAAAGAAAACCTGAGGTCATAATAACATATAATGAAACTAAGGCAGGCGTGAACAAGGCCGATCAAATGCTACGTAACTGTCAAAAGAAAAACCCGTCGGTGGTCAATGGTTGTGTTTTCCAACATGGTAGATATCAGTGCTCTTAACGCCTTTATAGTGTACTTGTTCAATCATTCTAATAATCTAGGTACGAGAAGTGGTAAAAGCAGACGATTTCTGATCCAATTGGGAAAGCAACTCGGAGGAATTGTGGACTCAAACGGCAGCGCCAACGGCAGGACCCTCTCAGATTTCGCAGAGGAAGAGGTGTCACATATGTCCGTCAAAAAAAGACAAAAAAATAAAAAGCGTTTGTTTGCAGTGCAAAAAAAAACGTATGCTCAGAACATAGCCGTATTATGTGTCTTTACTGCCAATACTAAATTAGTAAATGGAACTGTCTGTTTTTAATTGATATTTTTATTTCACTAATTTACATGTCACAATAATTATTTATTGTTTAAAACTCAAAACACATAATTTAATATAATAATAGTTTCAATTAACCTATATCAAAAATATTAACAGCCATTTAATTGGAAAAAACTGGATTCGGGCCGAAAAGGCCCGAGCCGTCCTTAATATATACTGGATGCTACCGTCAGCAGAGTGTTAACCATGCGGATGTAGTCTTCTCACCATGCATTGACAGCAATTATTTGGGTATCAAGAGGCCGCATTCTATATCTTACAAATTAAAGGAAATATGATGGTTAAGCATGTATAATCGAAGGATTCTGTACTTACTCTGTCTATTTCACAAAATTTTTAAATTTAAAACCCCCATCATATCTTTATGAGAAAATCACCTATAAAATAGATATTCACAATCTTCAACTTAGAATTAAAAATACACTTAATATACCTAAACACTATAAGGAAATGTACTTAAGATCGTTTTCGTGTCAAATATCTCATTTCGGCCACCAATTTGGTGAAACTGATGTTGCCCTTTCTATTAAATCATCTAAAAAGATACATAAAAAAAGATTATTTAATAAACAACACTAAAAAATGTTCATCTTACTGGTTTAACTTTTGCTGTATTCCTTTCTGGCGAAAATGTTATACGTTTTTTTTTTGTTTTTTATTGTTATTATAATTTTCTGCAAATATTTTTAAAATATAATTTATTTTTTTATATTAAAAAATCTATGCAATATAATTACCCTTTCAGTTATACAGGGTTGGCCAAACCTCTGTCGTAGTTCTATAACTCCTACTATGCAAATCTTAACGATTTATTTGATGTATACCTGTCAATGTTGGCCAATACCAAATATCCCAAAATTATTTTCTTGTGTACAGGGTGGCCCAATAGTAAATTAGGCAAATCACTTAATTTTTTTTAAATGGAATTACCCAACTTTTTTTACAATTTTAGGTACTTTATGGTCACTAGTACATACCCACAAAATATTGTTTCATCCCACCCCTTTCGCAGAAAAAAAAATTACCAAAAAATATTACATTTTCAGACGCCTATTAAAATATGCAGTGCTCTCTCGAATTTGATGTTAGAATTTAAAAAACTACGATTGTATAAAGCCAATAGACCAAAGATTTTTTTGGACCAAGTTTGAATTTTTTATTTTGTACAGGGTGGTCACAAATTAATTTCACTTTCCAAAAATTTCGAGGGAAATTTGTAAAAAAGTTGGGTCATTCCATTTAAAAAAAATAAGTGATTTGCCCAATTTACTATTGGGCCACCCTGTACACAAGAAAATAATTTTGGGATATTTGGTTTTGACCACCATTGACAGGTATACTTCGAATAAATCGTTAAGATTTGCATAATAGGAGTTACAGAACTACGACAGAGGTTTGGCCAACACTGTATATAAATATAATGCACTAGGTAGGTACTTAATGTCTAAAATTTGTCACTTCCAAATATTTATTTTTCTCTTCCTCTTTAATTACATTAGGACATGGGTATGGGAATATAAATATATTTAATTTTGTATTTGTAGGTTATAGTGGAAGAATTGGTGTGTATCATCATTAATTGTTATAAAATTATGTATTCTACATTTGTTTTATATGATAAATAATAAACTATTATTATTATTATTATTATTATTATTATTATTATTAGCAGGCTTTTATTCTTATTTCTACGAAAGGTATACACAATTAATTCCCAAAAATTGGGTTCTTAAGAAGATTTTTAATGAATGACCTAAGTATTATTATTGATACATAATGTTATATTAAGTAGTTAGATCTCCTACCCAACAAACAGCAAACTTCATATGGCCAAATGATTGGTATGGTGAGAGCTTTACAGCCAGCTGCAAATCCGGAGAAGATCTCATGCGATTTTAATCTGGGTGCCATAAACGCTTTCAAAGAAGCGTTTCCAAATGCAGAGCTGCTAGGTTGTTTTTTTCATTTGGTGAATAATATGAATAAACATTTGACGCAAATGAATTTGCTGGGTCGATATAATACCGGTGCTGATTTCAGTCTTCATGCACGAATGGTGACATCTTCGGCATTTGTTCCTGAAGAAAACATGGATATTACAATGAACCATTTATTTGGATAATTATCTAATGAGTTGCAACCTCTAATAGAATGGTTTGAGGGCTCATACGTAACCTTCTATTTTGTATATGGTAGCGAAAAAACTGGCAACAAGGTAGTTTCTTTTAAACGAATGGATATATAATTATTAAATTGTAGCCTGACAAATGGGACTGTATTCTACATTTTTTGGCGTCAGCTTTTATTGTAGCGCTGTCATGTTGAATTTTTTTAAAAGTCAGCATAGGTCGAGTTATATCAGAGAAAAGCTAATTTTTTTCATATTAATTTTTTATTCACCACCCTAAAATACCTTGTTGCTAGACTTTTTCACTACGCCGTTTGTATGGGATCAGAAAAAAGAAAATTAATTGTCACCCTATAGTTTTATAATTATACGTTCATTTGTTTAAAAAACCATACCTATGTGCCCGACTTTTCCATTACCCCATTTCCATTATGAAAAAATCACAGACTGTTGTGATAAAACCGACATGTTTCTTTTTCTGCTACCAATTTTGCTCGTATAAATATTCAAGTAGTTGGAGTACTAGTTTATTTTATATCATAATTTGTCTTATTAGCATTTATTATATTGAAAATTTTGTTTTGTTTTAGGCGGAAAATTGGGAATATTGCAGGTGAAGCTGGGCCTAGCCGAAGTAATTAAGAATTATGAAGTCTCTCTTAGTCCAAAAGTTAAAGAACCGTTAGTGTTTGATACATTTACATTTGCTACAAAGATGACGGAAAAAGTCTTAGTAAAGTTAAAAAAAATCAATTAATGTTTTTTATATTGATAAAAATATATTTTATTAAATACATATAAGTATAGCTTCATCACTAATATAAAACTACTTGATAAGTCTACTTAACTCGGCTTGAAGGACCAAGATTAGATTGCAAAAATTATTTCTTTATTTATTACTACAAGATGGTTATGTATCTCTACTCAAAGATAATTTTGTAAGTAATAAAATTACATGTTGTCAATCAATTTTTTTATTTCCCATTTATAATATCAGAGATTAAACAATATAAAATATTAATATTTAATTTTTAAATATTTTTATTCCAATTTCGATATCCAGTTCAATGTTTTGAAAATAATTTTAAAATAAATCAGCATTTTTTATTATGATTTACTACACATCAAACTCGAAGTGAAAAGTGAAATTGGAACATGTTTGTAAATAACTATAAAATTAGCCATTTTAATTCAATAAATATTTATTTTCATAAACAAGATGATGCTTTATTATGTAAATATAAAGAAAAATGTTTAAATCAGTACATCGTATAATTTGTATTTATTTTAGCGTTATTTAAAATACACCTACCTGTTTTTTTGTTAATGAATAATTACTTGGAGCCAATTTTACTAGATTATACTCTTAGATTATACAAACCTTAGATGGAACATAAAACACTGCGCATAATCCCGATTTTAAACTATTCACACCGACGAATCATAGTTGAGTAAGTAATAGTACGTCACATGGCAGAGTGTTGTATGTTCAAATTTAATTCAAATTGTTGTGCCAACGAGAATTAATTTTATTATTTTAAAGACTTAAATTGTGGAAATTGAGGCTAAAAATGCCAAAGTGTGTTGTAAAAAACTGTGTTTATCATAAAAGTGCGAAGTGTGATGTCGACAAAGGAAAATTACATTTATTTCGGTAAGTTATTTAATTTGTAGAGATTTTGTCGACCGCCATATTTGTATATTTGAAAATAAACAGAACCGGACTTGGTCATTGGAACATATTAGAAGTAACTTAAAAGGTTTTTATTGTAAACTATTTACTATTTCTTGTTTAATTGGGAATCTTTCTTTAAGCAGTGAAAAGAGTAACATACAATCAAATACAAACATATCAATTTAATTTCCAATTTATTTGTTTCAAACTTCACAACGGGTTTTAGGGTTTTAATTGTTTTTAAAACTATTTATTCGATATTTATTTATAATAATATGAGGTAGACCTATTTAATTCATATTTTGTTTAAAAATTATTATTTCTTTAATATTAATATTCTCTTTATTTAAAATGTCGCCAGCTTATTTAACCATTTTATGAATAGATGTATAAAAATTTGTGACCACGTATGTGTCTTTTAGATTTCCAAAAGACGTTGTCAGGAGGGAGCGGTGGAGAAGAGAATTAAACGTGGATAAGGAAAACTTATATACTAATTCAAATGTATGTCATTTACATTTTCGTCGAGATGATTTTGATTTTCAAAAATCATGTTTTGCGATACATTTAAAAGAAACCGCTGTACCCCGTTTAGTAAGTGATCTGTTTTAAACTTCATTTATTAAAAATCAGTTATCAGGTGCGTTTTAATCATCCGCTTCTGCTTCGGAATTGTCGGTTTTCTTGTTTTAATCTGATAGGTTAAAACGACTAAATCAACAATTCCAGAAGCAGAAGCGGATGATTAAAACGAACCCATTATTACTTTTTTTAGAAACAAAACAGTGCAAATTTTGACAATATTCCATTTGTTCAAACTTAGTGAAGTAATTTCAATAAAATTACCATTAAAAACTTTTAGAACTATGAAAGTGTAATTTTTTGTTAATCGTGAACCATATTGAAACTCCTCGAAAAAAATTGTGTTGTGGCTGTCATCTGGCAAAATGCGGTTTTTATATTTTTATTTTTAACCATTAAATTGATATAAAATTTTTTAAATAAAAGTTGTTTGTTATGAATTTATCTACATATATTTTGTTTCTATCGACTTTTTTGTAGCCAACCATAGAGCCACAAATATGTTTTTTTTTTATTTTTCGCGCATCTAGATAATACCACCTATTTAGTAAAAAACGATTACTTGGTTACTAATAAAGCTACATATTCAAAGTTTTGATTTTAATGCGAATTTTAAAAACAGTGTTTGGCCGCTATGGTTCGTCACAAAAGAATTGTAGGAAATTACATGGCAAGCAACTTTTTTTGTAAACTAAGCAATTTTTGTTTTCGAGGATTTTCAGTATTTTATTTGGTTAAAAACTACATAATGCACCATTACACCAACTCCTATGCCTCTAAGACTAAGAGTTTGTTAGGTAATGGGGAAATTTTGATGTAACATAACTGGTCTAACTATAAATTGTATCGCGTGTCGAAATAAGGAAGAACGCTGGCTGACGCTGGCTTCAGAATGCAGCCAGTATCTCAGAAACTATTCACTGTAGAATTTTGGGAAACAATATATGGTCAAGGCGAATAGCTGTAAATTATTTTCTAGTTTCTAACTTCGCCACTAGAAGGCGTAATGCTTATGACCAATGTAAGCATATAAACGAGTGGGTCATGATCATTGTGCCACTAGCAGCGCAGTTAGGAATTAAAAATAATCACTAGCCATTTCTAGGGATCACTTTTGTTAAAAGATAAAATTCTACGATAAACGGTTCCATAGATTTGGTAGGTATTCTTGTTTAGACACCCGATATATAGGTACTTAAGGCATGACTAGTTTTAGTCTTTTTTTCACTGGAATTTTAAAAATGTTTACTGATAGTTTGAAATTAGTAACGAATCAATTTTTAACAGAAAGGAGATGATCCTGTGATTGACAGTATATGCGAACCATCTTCAAGCAAAGATAATGAATCAGGACCAAAAACAAAAAAGTTAAAACCAAACTCTGCTGTAAGCATAAAGGCATTACCAGGAAAAAGCCGTGTAAGTAAATATTAAGATATATTTTTAACAATTTTGTTAAAATTATCGCAACAATTTTGTAAAAGAAGTATTTAATTGTTAAAAAATTAGCTTATTTTTTTTGTATTTCAGGATTCAACACGAGAAGTCAGACTTAAAAATAAATTAGTAAAGGTTCGTATAACCATAAAGCGACTGCAGAATAACCTGCGGTATTATAAAAAGAAGGTTGGAACATTAACAAATGTTATTAAATCCCTTCAAGGCAAAGTTCCCGAAGAAATGTTGGAGAGTTTAAAACAAATTGGACCCAACGAAGAATTTCTACAAAGGCAGATACATGCAAAACATAAATATGGTGAACAATTAAAGGCTTTCGCTCTCAGTTTACATTATTACTCACCACAGGCATACAATTTTGTACGAAATACCTTCAATTCTGCACTGCCTCATCCAAAAACATTATCAAGGTGGTATAAATCAGTTAATGGAGAGGCAGGATTTTCAGAAGAGGTTTTTAAACTAATTAAACTCAAGGCAGAAAATACTTATTTTAAACTTATTTGTAATTTAGTTATTGATGAAATGGCCATTCGACAACATGTTGAATGGGATGGTACTAAATATTATGGGTTTTATTGATTTTGGAGCCCACATTGAAACCGACTGTAATCCTGTAGCAAAAGAAGCATTGGTGTTTATGTTAGTTTGTATAAATGAGATGTGGAAGCTTCCTTTAGGATATTTTTTAGTAGATACATTAACAGGTAACAAAAGCATAATTTGTTGTTACAGTGCTTAAAATTCTTACATGATACAGGAATACAGTTGGTTTCTGTAACTTTTGATGGTGCATCTAATAATGTTACAATGATTAAAGAGTTAGGGTGTAGTATGGATCCTAACAACATTAAATCGAATTTTAGAGATATACATTCTCAGAAGCAAATAGCGATTTTTTTGTATCCCTGTCACATGATCAAATTATTAAGAAATACATTAGGTGATACAAAAATTCTTATTGATGGTGACGGTAATTGAATTAAATGGGAATATTTAATTAAATTATCAGAACTGCAAGATGAGGAAGGAGTCCACTTGTCGAAAAAGGTAAAAAAGTCGCATATTGACTTTAAAAATCAAAAAATGAAAGTGCGACTCGCTACTCAATTATTTAGTAGTTCTGTGGCACATGCAATAGAATTTTGCAATTAAATTTTAAAACTAAAACAATTTGAGCAATCAGAGGCAACAGTAAAGTTTATTAGAAACGTCAATAACTTATTTGATATATTTAATTCTCGACATATGGCACAAGTTGATTTTAAGAAACCCATAAATAAATTTAATTTTTTTAAAATTAATAATTTTTTGGAAAACATTTCGGAATATTTATCCTCCTTAAGATTAATAGATGGCGAACTGTTATGTTGTAGTGGCAGAAAAATGGGCTCAGTAGGATTTTTGTTTTGTATAGAAAGCCTTAAATATTTATATAAAACATTAATTGATATTGAAAATAGTTTCCTTGTATACATTCCAACCTATAAAGTAAGTCAAGATCACATAGAATTGTTTTTTGGTCTTTTTCGGTCTATGGGAGGCTATAATAATAATCCTACCGCAAGACAATTTAAGGCAGCGTACAAGAAACTGTTAGTGCACTTAGAGTTAAGAGATTCATTTAGAGGGAATTGTATTCCATTGGAAGCAATTTCAGTGTTGTCACCTCTAGATATTATCAATAAATCATGTTACAGGGGCCGAATAACAGAACATGTTGATAGCGAAGAAGAATTAATAGATGATGCTCTATATGAACACATATTTAATTTAGATGTGACTGAGTTTAAGCAAGAAGTTATTGTTTATATCTCTGGTTGTGTTGTTCATAAAATATCAAACTCTTTAAAGTGTGAAGACTGTTTAGAGGCTCTCATAGGGGATATGTCAGATTATTTTCTCTCGATTATCAACCAAAAAGATAAAGGACAGCTGTTTTACCCCTTTAAAGATGTTGTATTTATATGTATCACAGCAGAAAAAATAATGCAAACGTACTGCAAAGAAACAAGTTTGAATATTAATAAGTTAACCTCTTTAACATTATATATGTTAGTAAATACAAATCTTTTCTCTAAACAGGATAACCACTTTAAAGACCATTACGGGTTAAGCTGCCACTATGGTAATTTAATAAAGTTAATAGCATCCATTTACATTACGGTTAGGATTCATTATAACAATAAAAAGATGTTTGACAAAAGCAAGAGCATGAGATCGTGTATAATAAATTAATATTATTTAAAGGTCAATAAACTAAATTCTTTTGTTATTGTTATTTTTATTTGTTTATACAGAATTAGTTTTCAGTGTGGTAGCGGATGATATCTCCGTTATTATATAAGCTAAAAATAAGTTATTTACTATATACACAGGCGGCTATTGCATAAAAATAATTAATGAAAAAAATAAACTATACAGAAATTTAATAAAACATCCAAATGATAATTATATAAAACAACTATATAAAAATTGTAAAAATAAACTAACTAATTTAATAAATAAAACTAAACAAAATTATTACAAACAACGAATACAATTAGACAATCAAAATACGAAACGGTTATGGAACATTGTACGAGAAATTACAGGCACTAACACTAAAACAAAAACTATTGGCCCTATA